ACGCCAAACAAAGTAATTTTTGAATTTTTTCAATTCATTTTATTTAAAAATTGACATTGAAATAAAAAAATAAAACTTACATATTTAAAAACTACGTCAAAAGTTCTACAAAACAAGAGGTGATAAAAATATTTTATTTTATTAAATAATCAATAAAACGTAAAACTAAACAAAAGCTCTCGTAATTTCTGAATAGTGAAGCGTGTCAATCTTTTTGGTATAAAAATAAAAAAAAACTTACCTATTTAAAAACTACGTCAAAAGTTCTACAAAACAAGAGATAATAAAAATATTTTATTTTATTAAATAATCAATAGAATGACAAATAAACAAAAATTTTCATAATTTCTAAATAGTGAAATGTGTCAATGAAAATGACCATAGCTTTTTTTTTCAAAAAAATAAACGTCTAAGAGTAAAAATTTGTTAGTGGAGAGTGGAGAGTGTGCAATGCAAGCCACTACTCAAACTTCTCTAAGAAGGAAACCAAAAACTTCTCAAACACTGAAACCCAAAAAATTATTTAGGGTTGGTTAAGGGAGAGATATTATTAGCGCCAACGAAATTGAGTTTCGCCATTTCAGGAGCCTTTCAAATTCTAGGGCTTTTCCCCCCATCTTCCCCCTCTTTTAAAAATTCTCCATTGAATCCTGCCATTTCCATATCCAAACCTTCTTTACCACATATATGTATGTGCGGCCCGAATTCCTCGATCCTAATTTGGCTGTAATTGTTCTTCCCCTGTTCTCTGTCAACGACTATGGTGCGAGCTGTGAAGCGCGAAGCAGAGAGTTCTCGGAGTGGAAGCCGGCGAGGAGATGCAGAGGGTAGCAATGGCGACAGCCATAACACTTCTGGGGAAGAAGACGCTCTCGACCGCAGAGTTCTTAGATCTCGATATCTCAATGTTAAGACCCGGATTTGTGGTAATTTCCTCGTTTCTCTCTGCTTATATCTTGCATTCTTTCACAAGTACTCTGCTGGTTCTTGATGCAAGGCTCTACTTAATTTTGCTTTAATATAGAAAAACATGAATCAGTTAGTTAGATTGCATAAAAGTATTTACTGTTGTTGCAAGCTGAGTTCTGTCACTGAAATTATATTCCCGTTATGCGTTATAATGTTTGGTTGAAGTTATTTTCAAATCATTTAATATTAAAGATGATGAAGAATTAAGAAATAAAAATTATATATTTTTAAAACTATGGAATAAATCAAAAGATCTACAAAATTAGAGACGATGACTATATTATTTCATCAAATGAGCAACAAGAATAAGCCAACAGAGTAAATTAAGTTTGACTGTGTGAATAATAAGTTTTGGACAAAGAGAGTACTATATTTTTTCAAAAATATAGTACTTCCTTCTGTATACTACGAATAGTATGTGCTATAACTCGGAACTTCTTGACTTTTTGCGTGAAATAATCTTGGACAAGGGTTTATCTGTAAGATTCTTTTTTTCAGAATGCTCTCATTATATGAGACTGTGGATTCATTATCCATTTCTTTGGTTGCTTAATTGTTGCACTGCCTTTTAAGGTGGTATTATATTTAGTAGTAAACATACTGTTCTGTATGCTGCAGATGTGAAAGATGATCTATTGAAGTTTGATTCGGATACATTTAGTACAATATTTGAAGAAGTTGAAAAGTTACATGAAAAAGGTATCATTCATATTTCACCTCGTAATGACTGGTGGTTTTGTTTATTTGCAAACTCCAATTGCACCTGGATTTTTATTATACTCTTCAAGTTAACTTCCAAGAGAAAATTGAGTGCGGTAATATCATAATGCTGATCTTTATTGGCTTATTTTCAGTACAAAACCCCAGAGAACAAGTTGCAGATGCTGAAACACTGATGGATATCACAAACAGTTTAGTGACCTCTGTTAAGGCACATGGAAATGAAGGAGTGACCCCTTTGGATTTTGTTACTTGTTTGCTTACACAGTTTAGTGATCAAATGGGTCATAGATCTAGATCTGATGAGAGTCGAAATTCTATTCGCTGGAAGGAAGTTGGCCATGCTGTGTCTGATGTGTTCAAGAGTGCCCCGGGATGTTGTACGATGTTAGTATTTATAGGCCTTTGCCATCATTTCTTATTTTAGAAATGCCATGGATTTATTTAAGAGAAATGTAATTTTTTTCAGGATTGGGCCTATGTCAACTGAAGTTAAGCTAAGAAAGGTTGCAGTACAAAGAAAACGTGTAAAGCCTACAGGAAATGAACGACCGGAGAAGGTAAAGAGGGTTTTCTGTCATGGTGCCATGTTTAATTTTTGGCTATCAATATATGAAATGTTACTTGAGCCCTCATGTTGGTCAGCTGTAATTCAACTATCGTAAATCACACCCATAATATGCATCATAAATCCATGATTGTCCTTGAAGTTGCAACTCATACCTCTTTATTTAGAATTGGAATTGGAATAACATCATTAAACCATTGTTCTTTTCCAAGAACCTGTTTGCTAAGTGTTATTCGACCAAAATGGCTTAATCTGCTGATTTTCTCAAAACTTAAGTGTTTGGTAACATTCATTTTTTAGCCAAATAAGTAGTCAAAGGCTACTTGTAATGCATATCTATATATTTTTGAGAATGTAATTCATATTCTTTTGATAAACATAATAAGTAGATTAAGCCAATAAGGTGAATCAAGCTACCAACCTTAGCATTGGGATGATATCATGTGAAATGATCACACTTTTATTTGGTTTCCTTTTGTAGCTTCCAGATGCATCAGAAAAAAGTACTGACACAGACAAAAATATGGCAACAATGTTCCAAATCTTAAGGAAACACAAGAAGGTCAAACTTGAAGTATTGCTGCTGAATAGAAGATCATTTGCACAAACAATTGAAAATCTGTTTGCTCTATCTTTTCTGGCTAAAGATGGAAGGGCTGAAATAAGAGTTGATGAGAAGGGTGTTCACACTGTTTGTATGTTCCTCCAAATTCACATCATTTTAATTCTCTTACTCAGAGTGTTCATCTTCTGACGCTGTGTTAATCTTTTTTGCAGCACCAAAGAATGCCCCTTCTGCTGATGCAGTTCTCTCTGGAAATGTTTCCTATAGTCATTTTGTTTTCAGATTTGACTTTAAAGATTGGAAGGTACTTCAAATAATTCACTTTTTAAAGTACAAACGATTGAGAAATCAATCCGATTCACTAATCCAGCCTTATTTAAGTTCAAGAGTCTGGGTATTAAGTATTACCTAGAAATGTTTGTTTTTTTAATGAAAAAGTGTTTGGTAATCTATATTTAAAAAATAAACATGGCAAAAGCGTTTTATCCCTTGTCTGTCTCCCTCTGTTCCTAAATATTTTGCATTGTTTGATTTTTTTTTGGTTGAACATCGCAAACATTGACCGAAATTTGCATTAGATATACATTTAGTATCATTAGATTAATTTGAAGTACAATATTATTTCTCAAAGTGTTGTCTTGGAGATCCCAATATTCAAACTATACAAACTTGTTAATTTTGACTTTAATTTGGTTTCCTTTTGTAGATAAGTAGAAAGAGATGCATTGAATTTCAAAACAACAATCCTTTTCTGATAAAAGGCTAAAATGTCTTATTTGCACATTTTTACTTTTGCAAAGCATATGTTTTCTGGCTGTTTGTTTTGAAAGTTTGAGGAATTCTTATTTCCTCATTGTTACTTCCTCACAACAATACAGCAAATGATGGCTTCTGTTGTGGAAGGGGAGGAACTAATGCCTCACAGGAACGAAGACGGCCAAACTGCCCGTGAAGCACCACAGAGGAATGCTGAAGGCGAGACCGAAAGAGAGACAAGTACACCGATAAGGAAGTTGTCTAGGAACAGAGGTCTGGTTTTACAGGAGCAGCAGGTAGTGGTGGATGAGTCCCCTGAGGCTGGTGTTGACTCTGGAAGAGCCGCCGCCGCTGCCGCCAGTAGAAAAGGTAAGCGCAAGTTAGACAATTGGGGTTAGGGGAGGAGGGGTGCTTGGCCAAAAGCCCAAAATCCACATTAAATTGGCTAGTTTTGGGAATTCATATGGTGCTCAATGTCTTGTTGACATTAATTAGTAGTGACTTTTGGTTTTGTAGAGAGACTTGTTCTTTTTACAATAGGTAGTTTGTGTGTAACTTGTTTGGTTAACAATTTCTGTAGTGCTTACTTTGACTATTGTAATTTGTAGAAGTGAAGTTTTGGGTTACCCATACAAGCACACTTTTTTTCTTCCCTTCAGATTTCCAACGATTCTTCTTCATTTTAGGACATCAATTTTTGGGAAAACAGGAAGAATCATTTACACAAAAATTTAAGAAAATAAGTTTGTGTGTTAAGATTTATATTAAAAAAATATTCCCTCCGTCCTAGTGTAGTTGTCCAGTTTGATTTTTCGATTAAAATGACTTTATTAGATTTATCGTATTGAAAACTTTTAGAATTGTATTTTATTATACTAATTTGTAATACAAATTGAAAATATTGAAAATAATTAGAATTCAAAGTTTGTCCAGTTTGATTCATACACAGAGGTGGTATGATAAAGTTTGAATGAACAATAATCACTTTGAATTTTTTTGTTCTTTTCATTAGACTTTTATTAATACTGCCTCATATTCTAAAAGATTGTCATAGTTTTTTTTTAGTCAAAATGTAAATTCTTTGACCGTGAATTACGTGTATAATAATATATTTAGTTATAATATAAATTTAGTAAAATTTGGGTTATTTTAAAATATAGCTTTGAAATATCAAATATTTATAATATTTAATTAATTTAAACTATATTTTAAGATGAATGGAGTACATTTTAAAATTTTGACTACAAGTTTCACAAAAAACACATGTATTGTGATAGAATTTTAGTATCAATAAGCTCATATATATATATATATATATATATATATATATATATACTGTTTGAATATTGTATTATAGACCTTGGAAAATTAAATGAGAAGAATAAAAGAAGATTGAGGATGTGTAACGAGACAAAAAAATATTAAGAGAAAAACACGTTATTATACCTTAGGGGTATTATAGGAACGCACAAAATCCAATTTAAAGAACAAATTTATAAATAAACTAATCTTACAATCGATTAGTTATGAGCGCCGCCAGTTCCGTAACCACAGCCGCCCTTGTTGGCACCAGCGCCGCCAGGCTCCTCCACATGGGAGGCGGTGGTGGTCGTAGGCCGGGGAACGGCCGTAGTTCCGATGGGGTGAGACTCCACCACCCCCTCCATCACCGGTCCCATGGGAGCTCCGGTGCCGTGCCCAGGCATGCCCGACATTTGGTGAAGCCCGGTCGAATGGCCCGTTGTGGGACCTGTAGTGTTCGAATACGAGCACGGGTGGTTGCCCGACGACGTGAGTGAATCATGGGCCATTTTCACTTGCTTCTTCTCCTCCGCTTGCCTGACCCGTTCTTCTTTCTTCTGTGTTGCCATTTCCTTTTCGATTGGATCGTGTGCCGTCATCCTCTCCACCTGAATATATATAATCTCACTTATCTCAGTCAAACTGAATAAATTTTGATAATAGAGTTAGTACAAAAGTGTTTTATTTTTATCACATGTGACATGCTCTTATATAAAAATAGAAATGAACAAAGCCAATTTATTTTTTCTTTTAAACAAGGATTTGTACAAATCTCCCAAATTAAATTAGGATTAGTATTAAATGGTGGTAAGCAAATGTTTTCAACCATGGTAAGTATTCTTTTTGTATGCTCCATTCGCTCCCGTGGATTTGGTTAGTTTGATTTTTTTGAGTTAAACATGATAAATTTTGAGCTTCAACTAAATAAAAATTGTAATATATATATATATATATATATATATATATATTAGTATAAAAATAATTTATTAGATTTATCTTTTTAAAAACTTTTAAAATTTTATTTGTATAACGTGCAATACAAAAATTAAGATTAATTGAAGTTCAATATTATTCTAGTTTAATTAAAAAAAATCAATCTATCTAGACAAAAAAGGAGAGACGAAGGTTGTACGGAGTATTATTTTCCAAAAAAATATTTATGTGTAGTAAACATTTATTTACGACACTTATATGAAAGTCCGCTTATCTTAGGTCCAAAACAACATTTGTCCTAAAAAGGATAAGGATTATAACAAAGCTGCATGTAAATAACTTTTTTAAAACGCTAACGCTAATCTCTAACGCTATTTCCAAATATGCACATAATTAAGTGCACACCTTTTCTTGAACGACGGCTTTGGTTTTCTCCATTCCGGCCACTGCCGAAGCGCCGATGTTGCCGGCGGTCTCCTTCACACCCTTCATTTTCAGTTTATTCTTCTTATATTAATATTTATTTATTTTATTACGGAGTATTATTTTCAACTTATAGATTTTGTTTTTATACTCTATATATATAGCAACCGTATATTTTGACAAATAATACGGCGTAAATTAACAATATACGGAGTACTCCGCTGTATAAATATGCATGCAAGTAGGATTTACCATGAGAAGAGTTGACACGTGTCATTCGACGGCAAGTGCTGATTCATATTTTGGACCATGAGGCCTCGACAAGTGTCGGTCACGTGTCCATCCACATGCAATATTGATTCATTCATTCTCTCTTTTTTTATTGGCGAAATTTTTACGTTGTCCTACAATTCATGTTCACTTTATAGATTTTAGTACATTGATATTATAAAAGAATTAGTCTTTTTACAAAAAAATACTTTTCGGTGAAAATTCTTAAGTAGTCTTAGGGTCTAATTCTTTTATGATATATACAGTATGTACTAAGATCTATAAAATGAACATGAATTTTAGGACTACGTAAAAATTTTGCCAATAAATAAAGAAACAATGAAGCATTAAAAAATGGACTCAAATATTCTTAGAACATTTAAATATAACTTTTTTGCACGCCTCGGTAGCGCAACTGGAACGAAGAGAGGATGTCAGGTCTATTGATTTTAGGGTCGAGTCCCGTCAACGGTGGTGCGGGAGTTATATTATTTGTAAAAGCTCCTTGTGCGCACCGGACACAGGGCGACCTCTCTAAGGACAAGATTGAGATTAACCATGATTTATTCCCTTCACAATCCTGTCAGAGTGTGGGGTCGCCCAAAGTGGGCATTCCACTTTTTTTAAAATATTTTTTTTTTTGCGGGATAGAATAAGTAGTGACGTGGCACAATTCCATGCACTCCATGTGGATGGATACTCTAACAATAAGGTTCAAAGTGGGTTTTGGCCCACTGTATGAATTCATTCCGTGTTGAACAGAAGATCTCAGCCCACATTGTAGTTTGTCTTCCGCAGCCTGTTTAATTCACGGGCTTTTATTTTTATTTTGCCCATGAACGGGTATCCTTGGTAAGCCCATTCTCTCGCTTTCCTAAAAATCATGAAGGGCTTGAATTGTGACTTGGTGAGGGTAGAAAAATGAGTTCTGGACTTCTGGTATTGAAAGGCATTAGTACTTTTTTTATGGGTATTTCGTGAAACTTAAAAAAAAAATTATTAGATTCGAGATCTCCCGATATCAAAACACTTTCAATTAGAATTTTTGATATTAAACCACTTTCACAATTGTGATTTGCACGGCTCGTATTTACGTTATTAAATTATAATGAGATCATTATTGAATAATACAAATTGATATTATAATAGAATATTAAGTTTTTCATTATTTTAAAGGGTGAATATCAAATGAATTATAAATTTTAAAAAACACCTTTATAAATTACATTATCGGTTCAATTCGTGGGAACATTCTTTGCGTTGTACGGAGTATATCAGAATCTTCATGTCATTACGATTTGTTACATATAGTTATCAATGACTAACTACCGGTTTCCGTAAGAATAATCAATCTACGTGTTTTAGAGGTTGGTCCTGACTCTTGTCAATCTACATATTGAATGATCAACGTTTCTCAACAACATAAAGATGACTAGTAGTTTTAGTCGTTTGGAAATTGCATTATTGTACTTTGATTTTCGTAAATGCATAAACATCTTTTTTGAGGTTATCTTTGAAAGTATCTATATTCGGTTGTTTTATCTCTGCATGAATTCGATTACTCTATCAACCCAAGAAGTAAATATTGGTATCGTTATGATGATGGAAATTTACATTCTTGAAGGATCATATTAAATTAATAACAAGCCTCTTCATCGTGAAAGACTACATCCAGAGATTCCGGTCCCCTAGAATGAGCAACGACATGATAAACTCTTATAGCTCTTAATTAAGCATCTCCAAGTCGAGCAACTTTCACCTATTTTTTGATGGATGACCATATCACCATACCCCATGTCACTATATGTATCTTTGGATAAAAATCAATAAAAACATATAATTGAAAAAGGATGTGATACAGCCGTATAATAAAAAAGAGAGGAGAATGAATGTATCTATACACAAAAATACATTTTTTTTTATTTTATGTTACAATTTATTTATGTTACTATATATACGTAAATAGTATTATTTATATTATTTAAGGTAACCTAAAAACATATTATGAGCCTGTTTGTGAATAGCGTTAGAGATTAGCAATATTAGCGTTTTGGATAAAATTTCAACGATGCAGATTACTTTGAAAATGCTAAGACTAAATGCCTTTTGTAGATAGCGTTTTAAAAATGCTAACGCTAATTCTTAAAGTTATTCCCAAACAGGCCTTATATACACAAAACCGTATTTAGTGTTTATGTTTCCATTAATTTATGTAATCGTATTGCATAATTTGACCTTGTCCAGGAAGAGCATATATGTTACGGAGTACATAATTTTATTAAATTTATTTAAATATTAAATTTAAAATGATGAGTACTTAATTTTACAACTTTTTTTAATTTCAATTTTATTTTTTTAATTTCAATAGTTAATATTCAGTTAATGTTTTATTTATTTTTTTAATTTTGAATTTATTTATTTTTTAAATGTTAATATTTTTTTTATTTATCTATTTTTATCAATAAATAAATATTTGTATAAAACTTATATACGTTTTTTGAATTAAAAATGTTGAATAATGTAAAAGGAATGAAGTGGTGATTGATATCAGTACGAAATTTTGGGGTGAGAATGAAAGTTTGTAGAATGCTGATGGGCAAGAGTTCGGACGAGATGAAAATGTTCCCCGTTGTAAATATTCCAAAATAAAACTTGGGTCAACCTTTTTTGAATGGAAAAATTTAAAAATACCCTAAGTATTCACTAGCTTTTTAGAGACACATGCAAACATCTACTACCTCCGTTCCTTTAAACCCTTTCAGTATTGACTTTTGGGAAAAATAAGTAAAGTCTAATTTTGGTTTACTTTCCAATTTTGCCCATGATGTGATATGTAAAAGTAAGATGTGATAGTTTGGTTATTAGTGAAAAAGTATAATGTGATAGGTAGGGTATGAAAACAGTAGGGGTAAAAGTAGTCTTTTAATAGAAAGTAAAAGTGTTTTAGAGAATTCAAAAAAACGAAAGAGGAAGAATTTTGTAGAACGGAAGGATTAATATCTGTATGAAACACTTGGTATAATTGAAATGCATTTGGGATAGCCTTAGCAAACCCGTTTTTGAATTAAGAAAAATCAACGCCATCACTAAAACGCAACTACACGTGTCGTCGTATGATCAACGCAAAATGGCGAAAGACGATAAATACGTGGGGCTCAACGGGACCCCGCGGGAGTAGGCCCGCACCGAATTTTTATTTACTGCATTTCTTTCACGGTAAATTCCTCTGGTATTACTCGTATATATATATCTAGAGAAGAAACCAATAAAAGCTCAAATACCCAACTCTTCGAAGCCATTTCATCTAATTCCTCGCCGGCGTTTGGCGGCCGCCCTTCCGGGAAAATCAAAAGATTGAACGCCGTGGCCGGAGATTGCAGCTCCGTTGCCGGAATTTGAGACCTGCAATAAACAACCTTCCTACATTTTTCAGGTAATTTCCTCCATATTTTGCTCTAAGTATTTTTGATATACGTTTGTATATTCGTATTCTTGTGCGTATCGTCTCAGATCTGACGGTTTATATTCATCTGCATCATATTTTCATTGAATGTGCATGAAATCAATGCGAATGTGACTCTATTGACAGATCTAGGGTCAATTGCTTATTTCAGCAAGGTGACATTCATGTCTCATATCTGGTAGACTCCCAAATGAAGAGTGCCTAATTTTTGGCAATTTGACCTTTTTTTGCAGTAGTTGATGTGAATTTACTAACGTTTTTCCTAAAAAAGAATTTTTTTCCTGTGTGTTTTTGGATTGAATGTGATTAAAATGGGGTTTTCTCCCAATATTTCCCTGTTATTTGGCTAGTTATTAGGAGCCCCTATTTATAAACTTAATTTTGTCTAATATTTAAACAAAAAAGTTTTATTGAATCATATTTAATGTTTTTTTACCAAGAGAAGTGCTTTTGACAATTTTTAATTATCCTTCAAAATATAGCTACTTGCAGGTTTTGAGGTTAAAATTAGTCAAAAGC